AAGAAGAAGAAGAAGAAGAAGAAGAAGAAGAAGAAGAAGAAGAAAGGAGGAGGAGGAGGAGGAGGAGGAAAAAACAAACAAAAAAAAACAAACAACAACAACAAAAGTCAGAAGAGAGTAAAGCACCCAGACAGACCACAACACAGCAAAACCAAACAGAAACAGCCACAACGGAGGGAGAATTATACAAAATGAAATAAAATAAAATAAAGAGCAGAGGCTAGCAAGGGTTGGGGAAGGAGGGGGGCCGTGTGAGGAGGGGAAGAGGTCCGGGGGGGGGGGAGGTCCGCTTCAATCAAGGAAGAAGAAACCCTAACAAGGAAACTGGGATGAAAAGGAAGGAAATGAGGGAGAAACTCGAGTTACTCTGAATTAGAAAGCAAAGAGCAGAAATAAATGAATAAACAGAATCAAAAGCAAATAAATAAATAAAGAACTAAACACTGGGAAGCAGGGAGGAGAAGGTAGGGTGCATGGGGGGAGGGGGGAAATAATCTGAAAGTTACCAGAAACATTATTTAGTAGCAATTCCCCTTGTCGTTGTCAAAGTCAGAGACAAAACAAGCAGCAATATATGTGTGGATAGATATATGTTTAGATATCCCAGGCAGCGGCAGCGACAGCAGCAGCAGCAGCAGCAGCAGCAAACCTTCCCCTGTGAAACCCGTGCTACTGAGCAGCTAGAGTAGCAGGGAAATCGCGCTGCTGGGGGAAAAGCTGGAGAGGAAAAAAGCGTGGAACAATTGCAGAGACACACACAGAGAGAGAGAGAGAGAGAGAGACGCACACACACACACACACACACACACACACACACAAAGCTGGTGAATAATTTTTGCTGCTATTTTTTAATACTGGCCGCCATCATCATCAGCAACAGAGGAGAGCAAATCGGACAGGCCCCTCTTAAGAGAGGATTTATATATAGGTAAGTGTTGGAGATTTAAACCTACCCTTTGCGCCATCAGTCTGCGCTCCAATAAACTCCTGGATGTGTCGTATATTTAATATCCCAGTCCAGAAAAGAAAGTGATTTACAGTGAAGAAGATTCCTTTTTTTGGCAACCCACTTAAGACTTCGCCTATTCTCCAGTCTGGGTAAATAATAATAATAATAATAATAACAACAACAATAATAAAAAATAATCAGCCAAGAACCACGATGTTTGTGTATTTCTTCTTTTTTCTCTCTGACTCTCTTTCCTTTTTTTCTCTCTCTCTTTTTCCTTTTTTCTTTCTCTAAGACAAAAAAAAAAAAAAAATTAGTCAAGCCCCCAAACTGAAGGTTACGATCGGCCCGTCAGCAACCCACATGTAACCAAACTGTCGTGTCTCATGGCTTTTTGCCACTCCAGCTGTCAATCAAAGCCAGGGAATGTCAAGGTAGTGAATGAATGATGGTTGATGATGATGAAGAAGAGAGGAGGAATCTTTTTAACCCCGGTTTCTTCTTCCAGTAACTCCGCGTTTGGGTTTTGCCTTTTAGGATCGCTATTGGGATTTTTTTTAAGTACTAGGAAGGGGGGTGGGGAAAGATGCGAAGAAAAATTGAATAGTTTGCAAAACCTGGACTTCCCCCTCTCTCTCTCTTTTTTTTTCCTGGTAGGTATTTTGTCTCTCTCTCTCTCTCTGAGATGAGTGAGTGTCAGTAAGTGTTGGCAGGTTGGCTGCTGGCTGGCTTATAGAAGAGGCTCAGTTTTGCAGCGCTGATCGGCGGGAGAATGAAATGACGGAACCCGGAAGTAGTGGTGGCCATAGCCAGTCCTACAACAGAGACACATACAAGGGAGAGGGGAGAGGGAGAGGAGAGCACAGAGAGAGAGAGAGAGAGAGAGCGAGCGAGCGAATAAAGCCTGTGATATGCAGAGTATGTAATCAGGACTGCTTCAACTCCACATGGGGGGAGCCATACAACAGATCATACCCATAGCAAATCAACCTTCCTTTTCATATAGGAAAGAGAGAGTGAGTGAGAAAGAGGGAGACACAGGAGGAGGAAGAGAGAGAGAGAGTGTGTGTTTGTGTGAGAGAGGGGAAGAGGGAAAACTGCAGAAAGCAAGAAGAAAAGTACGATAGAAGCCTAGACCTGGTTTGGTTTTCACTAGATTATTTTACAAGCAAAGTATATCCTGCTTTACTGCGTTGTTTAGCATATTGTTAACAAATTTTTAATCTTCAGATACCACTGTAGCCGCGAATGGTATGCACGTCTGGGAGAATAGACAGTTAAAATGTAAAGGGGCATATACAGTTGATCTTCCATAGGAAACAAGCTTGTTTTAACGAAGTACTGAGTCTCTGCCAGAATGTTATGTTTAAAGTGTGGTTTCTTTTCTGTGCAAATTCATTACGCTGTTTAAGAAATTAATTTTCCAGGACATGAAGAGAACACCTCATTCAAACTATATTTGGCATTGTTCTTCATTAAGTGATCGCTTCTCTCAACCGCAGTTGTGATGGTCGGGGGGGGGGGGGTGGAGGGAGGGAGGGAGGAAGGAGGAGGGAAATCCCTTTAGTTTTGTGATGAGGTTTTTGGTCTTTAAAGGGGGCTTTAAAACAAAGTCATGATTACTCTTTTGTATGATAAGCCCAAATGTTATGTAGATTTTGTTTGCACGTTTATTTTGAGCCAATCACTGGGTCTTGTGTGTACAATGTACTTATGTATGTATGTATGTTGCTGGACCTTGCTCTATATCTGTGTTGTATTTGGGGAATGTATGCTTAGGTATTAACTCGGTAATGCCTTCTAATTGTAGTGCTAATTACAGTAGGGTTGTTTGGCAAATTAAGTGAGATAGTGCACCCTCCTTGAGCACCCAATGAACTTTTACACACACACACACACACACGTTAATGTTAGTATGTTTCTCTCGCCCAATCACTTCACTTTGCTGGAACTAAAACATGCCTTACCTCAGAGCAGTCAATTACCAAAGCTACCCAAGATCATCAATCATGGGGGATGCTTGAAGTTTAGGGGAGGAGCGATGGTCAAACTATCGATTGCTGCACTTTTGTCCTCTCCCACCCCCCACCCTTTTTTCTCGTTCACGGTCCCCTGCACATAAAATCTAAAACAGACTATCCCGTTAATAGTGGGATTTATCAATGATTATGTATGTACCCAGTTGTGAATGTGGCCTCATACATAGATGGCTTTTAAACATACACCGCAAAAAATGTATTTGAGTCAGTTAGGGATTGTTTATTATTGTTATTTTAAGATTTTTGGAAACTAACTAACTAACTAACTAACTAACTGAATAAATAAAAAACCCAAAGGGTAATTATAGAAATTTGGCTAGATTTTAATGGGCATAGAGAATGAGCTCCAGAGGTCAATAAACCCCTCGAAAATGATGAATGATTGAGTACCTGTGATGATGATAGTGATTACCGGAGCAATTAAACAGTTTGATTAAATGAGCCATCATAACAATGATGTCTGCGGGAAATCAGCCCTCACATATAAAGAAAGATAGTGTGGAGGGCTGACAAACGCCAGTGGGCATTCCTACGAGTTCTGATAGTGGTGAGCCCTGCAGAGCAGACTGTATTTACAAATATGAGAGCAATATGGAGAAAAGTCACTCAGATACTTTTAGCCAGACTTGCACCCTGCTTAAAAAGCGTCAGAAGCCGAAGAGCAGACCGGTTATTTCCCCCCTAGAGGATCTCCTCCAAGATTAAAGCTAGCTCTAAGAGCAACCGATATTCTGTGACTGACTTTCACGGGACTATAAAGAAAGGTGAGTAAAAAGCCCTTAGTATGTAGATCTCTTTCAAGCAGTGGTTAAGTCGATTCATTTCGCAAGGAAAAAGCCGGTTTTGTTGTGCAGTATTTTATACTCTGTCGTATAAATCGGTAACGCAATTCAAGATATTCATGGTAATGAATACTTGGCTAATCCTTTGGGTGCACGGAGACCTACAGAGCAGTAGGTTATGCAAATCCTTTCCTAGTTTTACAGCTGTACTTTTCTAACAGATTTTTTTTTTTTAGAGATCTAGTCATTGATGAATGGTATTTGCTTTTTCGCCCCCTAGAAAGATGCCAAATTCCTAAACTTCATCGGAATCATTTGATTATGGCACTTCCAATATGCCCAAGCTTCTAGGATATATTTTAAATATGTGCAGCTTCTCCATTTATTTTCTAATAGTGGTAGAATGAGTACAGCTGTATATCTCATGTCAAATAGCTTCAATATGATACAAGAAAGGGTCTTTCATTGTAATATAGCTGTATAAAAGTAATCTAGTTCCACTGAAGACTTCATGTATTTGTTCAGATCCCAGGCTGGGTGTATTGTGATGAAAGTTTATCCGTTTCCTTGTAAAGAGGAAGTTTCTACACCACTTGATTTACAAATAAGAGTGCTTCATTAATTATAGCATTATTTTATACTTCATTTTTTCATATGCCTGATTTTCATAATATTCAATGTAGATTTCAATTATTCAGAGTAAAGAATTGATAAAGAGCAACATAAATATAGCTAAAAGATGTTGCAGTACCAAATGCTGCTCTTTTCACAATTTTTATTTTAAACTAAAGCCCCTGAGCTGGCTAGCCCTGACGTGTGCGTGCCACCTAGAAGCAAGACCAACTTTAAAAAATGATTTTAAGCTGATAGAAAGTAAAATTTCATATGGTCAGTTAAAGGTTTTTCATGCTCCCCGTTGTGTCATTTTCTATACACAGGGCAGAAGAAAGATGGAACCTTTTCCCACTATCCCAGTGGATTAAAGCATACAATATATGGGAACATAGTTTAAAGCGCTACAGTTTAGCCATTAGAGGATCTAAATTTAGTGTCCCAAAATGAAGCTTTGGACATATTCAAGATTAGGTAGGAATATAAGAAACAGCAGCACCAGAACGCTTAGCTCTTGTTAGTAGTGTGTGTGTGTGTGTGTGTGTGTGTGTTTTCCTTCCTTTTCCCCCCTAGCATGGTGGGATACTCTTTTTAAAAAAAAAAATAAACAGTAATTCAGGGAGATTAAATTGGCTGATTTCCAGTTTCGCGTGCACACACTTACAACAAAGGCCGATCCCAGTGAAAAGTGTGAGAGAGGCGCATCATTTTTTTTTCTTCAGATTAGACCAAAATCCAAAGAGAAATTAGGTGTCCGGTATGGAAGTGCATCTCCGTCAACAGCTAGCTCCTTTTGCCGAGGCTGGAAATGGTTTTAACAGGCGGTAAAATTTCATCTTGTGGTGTCAAATTGGGGTCAGTTTGGGGTTAGAGCTCTCAGTGTCCGAGAAGGAGCTGTCCAGCTGCGTGGGGACTCATTAAGGGCAAAAGATCCGTTTCAAGAAAAACAAAACAAAGACAATCAGAGGGCTAAAGATCCTCTTCAAATCGCATTTTACAAGTGCACCAGAACAAATATGGACGCTGAAACCCATTCCTTTCAAACTCCCAAATCGGCTTCTTAGCTCTTGGAGGGAGTGAGAGAGAAAATCCGCTAAAACTTAAAGAGTCTGTTTTCAATCAGCCTTTCCGAAGTGTGGCATCTTAGCCTTTTGCTGGCTTTGAGATCTGCCTCTATTTCTGAGAACCCTTGCAAAAACCGGAGTTGCACAACAGGTAATATTTTAAATGTAAGAAGTGTATTCCATTGTTTATGTTAAACCATTGCTTTTATGCACAGTGCCATATTTTATTGCAAATAGAAAGTTTGGGGGAAACAGGCTATGCTTACACGAAATCACTATTTACTGTTCGGAAATCCTCTACTTCCTATAGGCAGTCATTTGGTTCAATAGATATTTTGGGTAGTTTACTTTGGGGTCCCTAACAGTTTGAAAAGTACATATTGTTAATCTGGTTTATTAAATTTGCGTGGTTTAAATCCTTTTAGCCTTCCTACCTCTGATAGAATAATTGACGCCTGGCTGAAGGGGACAAATTATTTGAACCTTAATCTTGTTTGTAACTTTATTCAATGTTACTTTGTTTGTTTGCTGAGTCGAAGTATTTTTTTTGGATCATGCAAATTGTATCCAGAAATGTAACCTATCCTCCACATTTGCAGACAAACTATAAGGGAAAGGTGAGGGATATTGCAGAATAACATGAATTATTTTGAATATTTTAATTTGTATTTTTTCTTGAAATATTGTTGAATGAAATGCATCAGATTTAATGACGAAAGAAATAATTCTGTTTAAATGATCTGTAGGGTTCTAATATAACCATAACCGTGTATCAAAATCCACGGGAAGTTTTCTCTTTTCGGTATACTATCCAGAAGATCAAGTGTAACATGTTACTCTTCCATTCTTATTTTTATTATAAGGAATATTCCATATTTTAATCTCCCACATACAAGAACTGCACTTTGCTGATTTCCTTTACTGTCCCATACGAAGAATAGGTTTCATTATTAGAACTTGATCCGTTTTTACTCACCTCAATCTAATTCTTATCATTTGGTTTTTCCCCCACTTCGCCCCTAAATTATTCACTAAATATGTGGATTCAGGAGCTGCATCATTTTCCAGGTCTGGTCTAGCATGACCTTTAAAATTAAGTACATTTTAGTTTCGTCAGATCGCTGTGTTCATTTAGTTCTTCTCTCTCTTCTCCCCCCACCCCCGCTTTCCAATAATGTGCTTTGCTTTTCCCCCCTTTTCAGCAATCTATTATTTTTCGAAAATCTTTCCACTCCAGAAAGTCAATGGTAGCCCATCACAGTGAACTTTTCTTGACCTCCACTGCAGTATGATTGGGATCTTTGGAAGTTGGATTAGGAGGAGGTTCATTTAGTTACCTGTTAACATCCTCCCTCCGCCTCTTTTTTCTCTTTCGCTTTTAAAAAACAACACGAACCCAGAGAGATGTAGGTTCTCTCTTCACTTGCAAGTCCCTATTATTCTCCCAGTAAACTCCAGAGATTTAAAACGGCACTTGTGGGGTGGCTTCTCTCCCCCCACCCCCTTATTTTTCTCTCTCTTTCTCTCCTGTTTATTCTGTTAAAGATCCCACAGAAGAGAAGAAGCGATTCAATAAACAGCCCTCTAGCGCTATCTGGCGGGACTCCAACACTTTCAGAAATGCGCTTTTTCCATTCAGCCCCCAAATATTGCTTTTTTTTTTTTTTTTTTTTTTTTGGTTTGGTTTTGCTTTGAACAGTTAAATGAGACCAGAGCATAGCACTGAAAAGCCTTTCTCACAAGGTGATGGTAAAAGTGGATTCCGAATCCGGGAGCCGACTCACTCGGAGAAACATAGGAGGTGGAAATCTTTACGTTACGGTGTTTCCCCACCATCACCACTCTCTTCTGCCCCCCTCTACCTCCTCACTTCCTTTTAGGATAATTTTATCGTCCTTAAATCGGAACCCACTGCAGCGGCTTTTTTTAGGGTGTGTGTGTGTGAAGAGGGGCATTAAAATAAATCCCAAGCCAACCTGAATAGGCACCCCTAGAATTGTATATAGCTATGCACGAGAACTGTATTTGAAGTGCTAATGTAAAAGGACAGCGCGTCTTTCATATTTTGTAGACTGTACGAAATGTACACGTGAAGATCAGAACTATTTGACATAAACAGACAACCTGTATATTTACATCGAAAGCAGAAAGGGGAAAAAAACTGTCAATATTTCGTAATAACGCAGTGGGGTCGATGCAGAACTAGCAAGTGCTTTGTATTTATTGGAGGAATCCGTGGACATAAAACATATCTTTCCAACCTGGCATCGTAACAAAAGGAAAATTAGGGATTAAAAAAGAAAGATGGATAACAAAACCGATTTATTATAGCAACCACAGAGCCTACCCCCTACACTTGCAGCTCCCCTCTCTCGCTCAAAATAGTCACTTTTGTTCTCCGGCTACCTACAAAACTCCAAAAGGAGGTTCGTTTTATACTGGAGTTTGGTTTGGTGTATGCGGAGAACAATGTCCAGACCCCCTTTGAAATGACTGGGAGACACACACACATACGCTCTCTCGCGCTCTCTCTCTCTCATTGCCCATTTCCCCCTTTGAAAGATCTTCCGAGTCCATTGTCTGAAGCAGGACACAATCTTAACTTAAAAAAAAATGCGTAGAGCTTGGTCTGTTCATGCATAAAAGAAATGGCTGGCAAAACAATATAACGTGTTTCCTGGAAATATAGTTTTGAGGCTGGCATGAACAGCGCCCGCGGTGTTTTTCCAAAAGATGGAGAGTTTTCTTTCTAAAACAATCGCATCTCCCCCAAAGAGAATGCAATATACATATTTGTCTTTGTGCTCCATACAAGCAATGCAAGGGACGTACAACAGAACATACGGCCAGTTGGTCCTCATAATGCTTAGTTTGGCTGTAATTAATTGAAAACAGTTATTAGGTCGTCATTGGCAATAGCGTAAATAATTGCAGCAGATTTTTACTTAAAATTGACCGGTCACAGAGTGATAGATCGATTCGAGGTATAAAAATGATGTATCAAAACATCAATGTCGATTATTTGAAATATTGTAGTCGAATCTTTTTATTGCTTCATCGGTTAAGTGTCTGAAAGTGCTGTGTTCCAACATATATTTATGTTGTCAATACTGTCAAAACTGTCAGTTTTATTACAGTGGATTTGTAATACATTTCGGATTTGCTCATTTACATAAAATACCCCCCCTACCCAGCCCTGAGCCCCTCTCTCCTTTTCCTATTTCTGGGAAATCTATGTCAGTTAAATCAAAGGATTCAGGGCTCTACTGCAGCAAAAAGTACAGACACTGCTCCATCAAAATCCCTTTCCTGCCCTGCTTTACAAGTCTTGGGCTATTTCTCACTTGCATAGAGGTGGATTGTCCCTTACCTCCAATTTCCCCCAATAGAATTTAAACACTTTGTTATAATCGCACTTAAATTAAATCCTTTAGGAAACTGGGACGCGCTACATGAATAGACCGAGATGCACCTAAATGAACCAGATCACACTTGTGAAGACTGAAAAGCAGAGGCGAAAAGGGAACTGACCATACACGTTTCGATGGTAGTTTCAACAAGGAAGCAAAAGAAGCCATAAATATAGGTGCGCCTTGTATTCCCCTCTCAGCGGCTTTGGAAGTGAAATGAAAAACGCGAGTTAGGCGCAGTATTGACAGTTTTAATTCGCCCCCACTTTAACAAGGGCATCTCAGAACCGATCATTTGCTTTAAAAGTAAAAGCTTTTTGTTAAGGGGCAGCCAGCTGATTTAGGTACTCGCCTCCAATTTTCATGGCGAGCCTAGTAAAAGGAATAACATCTATTTAAATACTAAACTCCATAGAGTCTATAAATAGTCAAATTAGTCGAGTAACTTTATTCTCTTCCCTGGAGAAACTGCTTGTGAAAGGTTGCTGAGATGACTTGAATTTTCTTTTGGGGAGCTGTGTGTACAAAGGGCGCATGAAGAGTGCATGTGGAATAGGGAAGGTTTCTTTGCTAACTGCAGAGCTACTAGCAGGTACTTTTAATTGACCTACCAGCCCTCTTAACACCTTCTATTTACATGCTTGTTTGAGCCGTAAGATTTTCGAAATGTAAACTGTGATTCATGTTCTAAACGTCGTGTGCATCTCTCTGTATGTGTGTGCGTGCGTGCGATCACTTCGGAAGTAAATGGAGAAGTAAGCTGCGCAAAGGGGGGAAATCGCCCCTGGGGTGCTTTGTTTACTTTGGCTTCTAAAATCCTGCTAGGAGATGGTTTCCGCACTGTGTGGCAAGTGTTTCTTCAAGAAATTCATCAGCCCTTCTGCAATTACTCCGAGGTCTGGGGGAAGAGAGCTGCCATCACTTTCTCACATCCCAAGGTGTCGCATAGAGGAGAGAAGGGGCGGGGGGGGGGGGAAGCTGAAACATTTAATTATAATTGAAAATAGCAATGGAAAAACCCTCCCAAGATTGTACTTAGAAAAACTTCCAGGGAATGTTTGGGAGCGCTGTATGCGGTCTTTCTTTTGGGGAAAGGGGAACAACACCCCAGCCCGTGCAATAATTAGCCCGAACAATAAACATAATTAGAATAAAAATCAGTTAGAATTTCTGCGTTTTTTAATTACGTTTCATTTTGCGGTAAGCCGTAAAATTATGAATGCCCCTAATTAAACACAATCCACTAGGAAAGCATTTACCAACAATTATTCTTTAATCAGTTGGACTGGTAGCTCCAAATGATGCTGTTAAACATCAAAGGGACGCCTCAGACGTTACCTTTTAGTCCTAAGTAAGAGGATTAATTTCTATAATTAGAGGGGATAAATATGTGCATAAATGCATCTAATTTTTGGTACACGCTCTCATCCTATCTGGGAGACAAGAGCGTCTCTAACAGGGCAAACGCAAGCAACCTGAATTCCCTAGGGGCTAAAATCTGACGTACCCCCGGAGAGGTGTATGTCTGTGCGCCCCTACGCACCTATACACGTGATGGGAAATGAGACTGGGCTCGATCCTGTGCGCTGCTAATACCTCTTCAGTCGGGCGGCGGACTCTCAGCTCCCACCATTGCCATCAATGGGCACTGAGGCCGCAGGATCGGGCCCAGTATATCCAAAGTAATTCAGCACGATTGTAGGAGCACGGGATATATTTAAAAGGCAACAACAACCACCACCACTGGGATCTACCTCATGTTTTGATTCCCAAGGGGACAGTTTAGTGCTCCCAACTGAAGCTCAAGACTGAGTTTAATACTACTAATAAAATTAGCATGACCTTGATTACACCCTGTATGAATATCTCATTTACCTAACGACTTTATGTCACGTACGCAGAAGGTCAATTTCCTTTTAACCTTTCCCATTGCTGCAGTAAGCATTCTCTTATAATCAATGGCTGTTTGAATAATCAATTCACATTTTATGATCCCTGACAAACTCAATATATGTGCGCCTTGTTTCAGCACTGCAGCCTTGACTTCGCAGGGCCGTTTACACGTGGGGGAGAATTTGCGCTGGGGTCGCCCTTGCACCACCGGGTACTTTCATCCGCTGATGAGCCCAGAGACCGCGGAAAAGTTACTAATCACAGCAGTCTCTCCAGCTGTGTAACGCACTCCGACCCCGGAGAACGCTATCTTGACCAGGAGCAAACAGCTGGCTTCTCTGCTGGGTTTCACATCGAAGTTTGGCCCGCTCCTTCTATTGCTGTTTTGCAACAACACTTGGTCGAGAGCTTTTCCTTGTGATCATCAGCGTTATTATTTTTCAAAATAACCGTAAAGTGGAATCCTGCCGCTCCTTGACTCCTGCCAGCCTGAGGACTGGTTGGTGGATAGCCTGGATGTGTTATTTCACACATTTTTCATACTGTTCAAGCCAAAATATTGTCGCCCCCCCTTCCTAGGAATGTACATAATCAAATCATCTGGGACAGATTTGCCTTCCTCTACGTGCTAGGATAATAAAGGATTACAATACAGAGTACTCCCACCTTCCGGAAGCTAAAGGTAGCCTCTTGCCTGATTGCCCCACCGCCTTAATGATGTCTGAGGGAAGCATGGTGTCTTCTTCAGATACTTTGTGCACATGTAAAACACTGATCTAAACTTTGCATTAGATTAAATATGCCACTGACATTAACTACATTCTCATCGCCACCAACTTCTTCTTCAATTTTATTTGACTCCCCTACTTCGGTCCAAACAAACCAGGTGTTGAGCAACTTCCCTCATAAATTGCAAATGGTAGGGGAAGAAAATGTACCTTAACCACATTCATTATGAATAAAACAACAAAAGCTACGAAGTGGGGCGGGGGAGGGGGAGCTGAACTTTGCAAATGTTTTTCTGTAAGTAGCTCACATTTTGAGGTGATCTATTGGTGCGAGTCAGGAAGTGAGAGTTAGTGTAACCCTGTTCCCTCTACTGGATAATTAACCCTGATTCATAGCCTTTTCTACCTAGGAACGTATGTTTCGTTTCCCTCTGCAGAGTCAACGTTACCTACTGTTCATTGGTATGTTGTTATTCCCTGAAAGTAATTGCACTTGATATTCTCCTGGGCAGATTCATTAGCCAAAGGCAGGGTGGCGTTGCCATTCTTAGAAAGTCTTCTAACAACTCAGTAGAAACATGTGCTCCAGAAATTTAGTACAAATGGGAGCAGATTCTCAGCGCCGGAAACAATCGTTAGGTGCCGCATCTCCCCCCAAGGGGATGGAGGTCAAAAGGGAAGCATTTTTTGTCCCACTCAACCAGGATATATTTCTGAGTCCCATCCCTCACTGTGCATGATTAAAGCTGCAACAGAAGACAATTTAGGCATAATGAAGATATTCAAGTGTTTTTGAACCTTTGTCCAATAGTCTCCAGAAGAAAACGCCCTATACACCCAGATACAGATGAGGCAGTTGAGAAGACAGCTTCCAAATTCATTAGCCTGCTCTCCTTTACATCCTTTTAAGATTTATTATATGCATCCTGAAAACACTCAACTGCTCACCCACCCTTCCAGACTTACATGTAACTTCTTTCTTACACATGTTTGGTATCACCTATCTGCCTGCTTCCATCACTCCTGCTAAATAAATTACACCACAGGTTCTTAGAAAAACTCAGGGAAAATAAAACAATTTCACCTCATTTTGTGAAGGGAAAAATCTGCTTGATTGTTTGTTTATTTTAATTTTTTTTCAGGTGTTCTTCATTTAAAAAAAAATCTTATTCTTTTGGATCTTGGCAGGTTACCGGGAAGGTTCAAAATAACACTGCCATGGAAGGGCTAATGCAGCTATCAAATGCCCCTCACAAGGTGGATGAAGAGGAACTAGAAGAGACAACAAATAGGCTCATCAAATCTCAGGCTATCACTACATCCATGACCAATTTCAGGATACCTAAGAAAGCCTAGAGAGCTGTATTGATTATGAATTATGCTGGCAATTGTATGTTTTTAAATAAAATGATGGTGTCAAAGGACATGGATATAGAATGAAGTGACTTTACTCTTCAAAGCAAACAATGAAGTTTCATGTCTAGGCAGCTCATTGTATTCAGAGACTTTAATTACTCAGAGCTTCTTCCCTCACAGATAGCTGATAAGACTCAAAGGGCAAAAACCCATCTCTGGTGTACTCCACTGACTTCAATAGTGTTCCACCAGGGATGGATTGGCCTAAGTGTTTCTGGCAGGATTATGCTAATATAATAATATTTATAATAAACTGCATGCAGAAAGCCAGGGAACCAGAGATTTGACCTCTGCTAATCAAGTAGATCTTCACACTCCAAAAGATCTGAAAATCATCTTGTAGGTCTCATCTGCTAGAGCAGAAGATGCCTTTGAAGGGAATCGGCCTTCCAGCTGTGCTTCCCTTCAGGCAATCCCCTCCATATGATAGCCTTCAATATTTTGGGGTCCAAACCTATAGACAAAACTCCCATTGATTTAAATGAGATTTTTGCCTGACTGAGGAATACAGGACAGGGCTGTCTACCTGGTCCTGCAAGAGCAGAGCACCCCATGAAAAGTGCTGAGTATGCCTAATTCCCACTGACTTTAATAGGAATTCTGGACCTTCAGCACACAGTAATAAGCTCTGGCACCTCACAGGATCAGGTCCTTAATTAGTATTTTAGCTATTGTCAGTCATCGTTTTTGTATGACATGTTTTCAACACCATCTCTGGTATTATGAAGTGCATGATACATGCTGCAGTTTAAAATGTTTTCCACATCTGCAGAAATAAACAGGCTTCTTAAGTGATGAAACAAGATTAAACAACAATATACTAATAAATTTCTTATAAAGCAAGTATACACAAATTTATAAACCTCCTAGTATTACATCATTTGCAATTATAACTCATCGCTAATAGTTCTATTGATTAGTGGCATAAAAAGCTCTAGTAGAAGCAGTTCTTTGGAGTAGAGAAATATAACAATAAAAAAACCCCATAAGAAGTGTTTGTCCCATACTCTTACCTTGAGGCCATATTACAATCACAGTAAGACATATCCAGGCATGTGTCACACTGGATAATACTATTTCTTGGGTGTTTGAGGGCACTTGGCTTTACCTTGTACTTCACAACAGCTGAGCCATGTCACTTAGCCGCATGATCCTGGCTCTAGTGGAAAAAATTACTAAGCTATATAAATTTATAATTATTTTACATTAAATACTCAAAATATTGCATTTACCCAGCATTCACACACAATGTTTAAATAAACATTTTTTCCAAAGTTTTTCTCTTGGTGGAAGAGCTGATCAAATTATTCATTTTGAATACACACTAGCTGGTCAATATAGTGCTATTTTCTGTTCTCAAATGCATTATTATTGATATGTGTTATGATAGCACCTAGAAACCTCAAACAAGGATTAGGGCCCCATAATCAATCCTTATTTTTGTGAAAGTATTCATTACTTGCAAGTATTTAGCAAGAATAGTTTAGGCAAACAAATTTCAGTCTATGGGCCCTTTGCAAAATGTTCATTTAGACTTTTTGCAATTCATTATTCTCGATGTATGACTGGTTACCTTAGTCACATGGTATTAGTTCTGCTCTCCAACTGGTTGGCTGAAGTTTTTTAAACAGGAGGTTAACAGCAAAAAGCAATAACAAATATTCACACCTGATTCTGCTTTCATTTAAGTCAATAAAAGCACAAAGGACACCCATCGAACCCATTTGTGAGATGAACATCTGTTTGTATGAATGTTCACATATAGTGAGTAAAAAGGGATACAAACATGACAAACTAAACTGCCAGTTGGAATCTGAACACCTGTTTCCAAATATAGTTTTGCAGTATGAAATCAGTTCTATTTTTTGTGAAGACAGTATAATTACAATTCTACAACATTATTATAAAGAACCAAAAGTCATGAGAATTGTCCTAATTTTCTTCCCCTACCTAGGTTTAACTCCAAATTATTCTGTGTTACAAATGGGTCTTGTTTTTGGAGCAAGAAGAATATTGTTTGTACCAGAGGCAGATGCTCCTTGATCTGTTGTTTTCAGATTTCAGCCATTGATAAGGTGTTGGCTGCAGCCTATATGTTCAGGATAACATTTTGATCTGAGAATAAATATCTAAAGGAGTTTTTAGTGTTTGAGGGTGCCATTCAATTTCTTACCTCCCCCAACATAAATGGAAAAATATATATAAAGGGCTTGGTCTTGCATTTCTTGTGCATTGAAAATTCCTATTGACTTTACTGGGAGTTATGAATGTGCAAATGTTGGGTCCTTATTTTCATGGAAACTACTATATTTCTATATTGTTATTTTTACAGTTGTAAAACTCTGTTTTGTGTCTACTGCCACTGTACAAAAAGAAGAAGAAATGAAGTATTTATTGTACCCAAGAGCAAAATATTGTATTATCAATAAGTACAAATGGTTCCAAATCATGGATTTCCAATTCAAATGCAGATCTGAACTGCTGTAAAGTTTGAAGGTGTTAGGATAAAGGGTTTTAATTCAGGCCTTTCTCCCTTACTAAAGTAATAAATAGAAATTGCTGTTGTTACAAAGAAACTCATTTGCAAAAAATACTGATGAGTTTGAATGTGAAGTCAGCAGGGGGGAAAGACAGGAAAAATAATTGGGTCTGAGTGTCTTCTCTGGTGTAAGCTAGGAGTAACTCTACTGAAGTTACTGGACTTTCACTGGTGTAAAGCTGGTGTGAGGGGAGAATCAGGGCACTTGTGTTTAAATAGATGGAATTACTTTAAGAGGACTTCTAAGAAAACAATGTGCAAATAAATACAAAACAAAAGGGAAAATATAGAGACATATTACCTTTTTTGCATGCATGCTTATTTGTAAGTGCAAATTAGATTTGAATATTCATGATTCACAAATCATTGACAGTTTGAAATAATGCAAAATGAGGTTAAGGCAAGGGACATCAAATAAATGCATCACTAAATCAATAACAATTTGATTGCGCATATACTTGTAAATTGCCATTACAGTTTTTGACATAGGAGAAAAAAATGCTGTGCATGTGGTGAAGGAGGACACATAAATACTCTTTTTGTATGTGTTTATATTTTTGCAGTTCAGCATGTACTTGGATAACTGCTGTGTATAAAGTGACCAGACATAACTTTATTTTTTTCAAGACAGTTACAGTTTCTTTTGCTTATCCCATCTCTTGTATTGTTTTGCTTAGTATGTTAAAAATTCAATTTTCAATATACCCGAACAACAATGTTGTAAAATAAAGCGATTGCTTACTGCAGATGGTTTCAGAAGAAGGCTCACCTGCTAATCAAAGTACTATCATAAAATCATGTTCAGTGGAGATTATCCATTTGTTTCAGGGAATTTTGTTCTATGAAGTGGGAGTGAGTTGCAAGTCTCAGGGCAAATTGCTGGAGTACCAGGCTTTAAAATAATGACAGATTGAAAGATGGCCAACCTAACCATTTAAATCAGAGCTTTTTCATTTTGCCCTTCTGTAAGCATCAATAAAGTATTGGATCTCTGTCTCACTTGTGAGCTTTGTGGCTCTTTAAAATGGAATAGTTTAAAATGTTGATGAGTATATAGAGCCAAAAGGTAAAACTGCTGAATATAAGCACTCATTTAAAAATTACTCCAATGTATTTGTTTCTCCTAAATGTTCCTACTTTGATTACTAAACACAAACTGTAAGATATTAGCCAGCACTCTTTCTTCAGTGTCCTCCGTGGTTTCCCTGTTCTCCAAGATAACTGATGAAGGATATGTAATGGGTCAAGTGAAGTTATACATACATAGTAGCACTGATGTCAAAACCAAGCAATAACATCAATTTGGAAGTGGTACAGGGGACTTTGGTCCTTTAAGAAAGAGAAGAACATGACTTCTTGCAGTGCTGTGTTTAAAAGCCTCCACTCACAGGAATGAAGCTTGCAATTAACTCATGTCAAAACACCGCAGAAGGGGAAACCCAGATGTTGAATAACTTTGGAAAAGGATAACCTCACGTCCTCCCCAATCCCCAAGATGAGCTTGTCAGAAAATATGTCTCTCATGCTATCACGATACCACAAAATACCTGTATATTCTATGTTTAAATTCAAAATCAATTGTGCAAGAAACTCCCTTTATTTGTGAATTCTGCATTGTGAATAAACAATCGATTAAAAAAGATCCTCTTAAAAAAATCAAAAGGCCAGTTTGACTTTTCTTCTCATCTTCAGAGTTTCTTGTGAAAGAAACGAATCCCTCTTCAGAGTGAGTGAATGGGGAGAACATTAGCTAGTGGTTACAGCAGAGGACTGGAATCAGCAGTACTAGATTCTACTTCTGGCTTTGCCACTGACTTGCTGGCTGACCTAGGGCAAGTCATTTAAGCTGTGCCTCAATTTCTCTGTCTATAAAATGACGCTCATAATAGGTAATACACAAGGTACGGTGAGGCTTCATTCACTGATGTTTATAAAACAATGTAAGCTCCTCAGCTGAAAGGGGATCTGTATGAACAGAGTGTTATTATTAACATTACAATTCCCTGCATGGAACAGCTCCTCAACTAGTACCACTCAAATCCTCTCTAATTTCTTCAAATTAAACAATCTTGAGGGGTTTTTTTGAGGGGAGACTTTGGGGGAGGGACTACAGCCTCTTGTCACATTCAGTAAATCATATAATCTTCATTACTCCAAATGAGAAAGTTACTGCCTCTTTAGATTAGTAGAAACCCTGTAAATGCATGCATAAAAGTAAAGGAGATAAATGCTGAGCATTTTCCCATTCTATTTAGATTCTTACATTGCACCCATCACCATGGTATCCAAGTGCTGCTCAGAAGAAATTTGTTCTTCCTTCTGGTGCATTGAACTCAGAGTAGCTATTGCATTACCAGTGAAAATATGTCACTAGTGCTACAGCCCGATCTTCATTTCAGCAGAAGACTGAGAGCCTTGTTCTATTTTCCCATAAAAGTCAGAGTATTTGATTAGAAACTTGGACCAACATCTCTATTTAGTGACTGATCAAAGTTTGGACATATTAGTGAGGTTTTCTTCAGAAGAAACTCCTGGTGGGTGACAATAGGAAAGTAGCTCAGCTAGGGCATATCAAAGCCTCCACAGGGTCAATACATGAATTAATTTCATTGGAAATTCTTTGCTGTCTCCTCTCCAAATCTCCTTCCTTCACCTGCTCCTGCTGGAATTCCTGGTGTGTCTCTAACTGCTCTCTATCTGGCCACTCATGAACTCTTTTGTCGTAGTCAGAGGATACTGACCCTTGCCCTGTGACAGGGATATAATCTTTTGCAGCCCTAACCCTTAACATGTGACTGGAACCAGGATATAAGGACCAGTCTCAGACAAGGACTCCTGACATCACACCTTTGTTACATATTGAACAAAACAGGAGAAGGTCTGATCCAATGAAGGGGATATAGATTCAAACTCAGGATGGCCCTTCATAGGTTGGCCAGGGAAAATTCCCTACACTGTGAGAAGGGGTCCTAGGTGGGAGGAAGCCACATGCCTAAATTTCCTTTTTCCATTGTCAGATAAAAGGGCCAGCAGGAAGGAGCAAGTAGCTCACAGGTGAGGATCAAGATCATAGGAACTCGCTAGTTAGCCCCCCATGCTGTGCTCCTCCTGCTGTATTTTGTGTGGGCTCTGCCTCGCTTCTTCCCAGCTCCTTCACCTTTTCAGAGTGGGTTGTTTCATCCCATTGACAATTTCCTAGATTCCTGGGGGGAGGAGTATAGTACAGGGGCTCGTCCCCAGACCCCTATGGTGTCTGCCTTCTTTGGGGAGGGGATGTTCCTCCCCCAAACTACCCCAGATGATTTTCTTGTGTGGGTGTGGATAGAGGCAGGAATGGGGGGAAAAGGGGAATGACACAGGTGCTCCTTTTTCCTATTCCCTAGTCTATTTAAAGCAGTTGCAGCTCTAGTCAGACAGGAGGCCTTGCCCCCTCTGAGTGAGCATATAGGAGAACCTGCCTGTTGGGCTTGGCCAGAAAATAGGAAGAAAAAGGGGAGAGTGAGTTAAGGACCCTAAGTATCAACAAATAACATTATATGGGTAAGATTGGCCAGTTACTGTACTGATCATTACAGTTATGAAATGGTCAGGGGAAAAAAATGAGTGTGGACACATTTTGAAGAAAAGCCCTAAACTAAAGGGCAGATTGTGTTGAGCCCTTGCCCAGGCAGGAGAGGGTCTTTTGCACTGTCTGGACAGGAGCCCCCAGAGCCTTCAGTTCCTGTGATCAGGGAGCAAAAGGACCACATGAGCCTAGAACTCATAATGTAATGCCTTTGCTAAGGAGCCACGTGGGGGGAAGCCAAACGAGAAGCAAATGCTGTCCCTTCTTTGAAGGTGACCCAGCAGCAGTACTCACCCCAAGACCCTGGAAGCACTGGGCATGCGTGAGGCATTGTGGGCCTGATTCCTTTCTTTTTGTCATCGGTGTCAATCAGTAGTGACTCCACTGGAGACAATGGAATTACACACCATTGTAATACCAGTGTAAATGAGTGGAGAATCATGCCTGAAGTCTCTCAGAGCTCCTGTGAGGGCAGGTCACTTCCCGACCACTCCCAACACAGGACAGTTTACCTTAGTTACAGAAGTTACCCCCTAAGCCTTTGCTTAATAGGGAAAAATGCGCTTTCTGTCCCATAATATGTATCATCTCACTAAACTTCAACTCTATGTTAAATGCAGCTTGGAATAAAAATAATATATAAACTGGTAATGCAATGATTAGATCAGATGTGACCCAGACTTCATATGTGTCAACAACTAAATGTATCTCACTCTGTTTTTTTAAATTACAGGAGTTATAGTCATAATCTTCACTGGATAAATTGGAAACAAAAATGTTTTACCTTTGTTATTTTAGGGCCATCAGTTAAAACAACCCAAATGCCAAACTTAATACACACACAAGACATCAAAATGTTTTTTCCCCCCCTATATGGCTTATATTTCAAGGAATACAGTGCATCTCTATCTGCCCTCACTTCTTTCCATGAATTATTATGTACTGCAAGTGACATCTGCTGGAGAAAGCAGAGCTAGATATCTGCTGTACAAGTTCTTTGCTATTAAAACCCTGTGACTACACCTCTAGTAAGTACAGCAGTAATTTAATGGAAAACCTGCTCTTGTGCCCATTGAAATGCAGTTACATAAGGACTTCCTTGGAAGTTAAAGCAGAACTGTAAAACTGTCCTTTTTATATTACAGAAGCTTTCTCTGCTATATAGAGAAGCTTCAGTAATTCCAGAATTATTCTGGATTTACAGCAACAAAGTCTTTTCAAAGGTACTATACATTTGAATAAATAGTGTGTATTCATGCTTGCTCCTGTTCAATTATTAAGGACATATTTTAAAAATATTCCTCACATGAGAATGTGGTCAAAGGTTCAAGAAAGCTACAAAAGTTCAACAGGAATGTATTTGAAAGCCTACCCTAGAACAATACTATTTTCAGGATGCCTTACCTGAGAAAGTCTGACTATAAATGCACTTTAAATACTATTCTGGTTTTGGTGAAGACAGAGAGACACCATTGAGAAATCTAAGTTAAAATATCTTACTGTCTTAATACAGTTACAATCTGTACTTTTAAAAAATGTGAGAATTTGGTATATAGGACAGGTTTTTTTCTTCTAATAAGATATTACAAAAAGTCACAGAGTCCCAAAAGCGTAGGGCTCAAAGAAGACCCATCCCTATGCTGGGGGTGGTGCAGCTGTACAGTAACCCAGCAGTACAATGTCTCTCAGAATTACTGCAAGCGCTGGTATTGTTCCACACACCTCCCAGAATTCTAACTGGTTTAAAAACAGTTCTGCTACTCCATTTTAAAACAGATGGAAACACTATCTTAGACGGGGCACCAGGCAGCCTGAACTGTTTCACCTGAATCTGTCTTAGGAAAGTCTATACTATGACTCCAACCAGTTTTCAAATTGGATTAACTGAATCAGCTTTACCACCAGTTAGAATTTGGGGAAAATGTCCCTAGTGTAGACTAGACCCTAAAGGGTATAGCGTGTGTTCCTCTGTAAGTGTGGGAAAGAGTTTTTAAGACAGCAAAATCAGTTCAGAAAGTAAATCAATAGCCAGCAGCCATTTACTGATTTGTTTATCTAATGTTGATATTAATTTAGCTGTAATTTCCTCCATCAAATGCATTTCTCTTTTATTTTGTAAGGAAAATTAAATTTTGATGGTGAGGCTTAAACCAGTGAAGAGGGATATGCTTTAGTGCAGCAATCACAAGAAGATATATTTGTCTGTTTGGAATAAGGGAGGAGGGAGGGAGGATAACAATAACATATTAAATGAGATTAAGTGGATAATCTGTATCTAATGTGTCTAGGCCTGATTGTCCCCTCTAGCCGAACCCCCATGGGAAGGGGCTAAAGGGAGGATATTTCTGACAGGTTTTCCTCACAGAAATGTCTCCTGAATTGTTCCCTCAGGGGGTGAGTTTTACCTCTTTCCCCCATTCTCTCTTTGCAGAAGAGGCTATTGGGGTTACTCTCCAAATCTCACAGATCTTGGGCCCAGACTCATCTGCATGAAGATCTTATGTGTTCATCTTAGCTCTATGTCTCTGGTGTCTCGCTTGCATTCCCTGGCAGCACAGTGCCATTGGAGACCAGTTGCAAGGCTTCCCTAGCCAGTGGTTGCTCCAGAGGTCCCCAGTTTCTTGAAGAATCAACATAGGGATAGTGGGGAAAAGAAAATATTATCCTTTACCTGTCCTATCTACTTCTCCTCATCCCATTCACTTACCTACCTTCCCCATTTGGGAATCCGTGCTCTTTCAGAGCACCCTTCATGCAGCCCAAGGGAAGGGGAGATGCTGCCACAGAAGGTGCTGATCTCTTCTTTACCTGCAGGAGGGTTACGATCCATGTGGGGAGAGTTCTCTCTGCATGTGAGTCCTGGGGGCACAAGGGGGCCTTCAGTTAGCATTCTACGAATTATTTATCCATAACTAGAGACAGCAGCTCCGAAAGTAATTTCTGAAAGCTAAGGACTAATAGCACTAGCTAGAGATAGGTGTAGTGTGAGCAGGTAATGTAAAAAACTTCCACACTATGAGCTCAGTCTCACTCTCACTGATCCAGTGGGAGCAGAATCAGACCCCAGGGTTTGGCAAATGCATCCGAGTCT